CCCCCAAATCCACCAGCATTGGTAGAATGGATGTTGGCAGTCAATTTAAATTTGAAATGAGAACAACTGTTTTTCAGCATAGGGGAGTGCTAAGCAAATTTCAAAAGATTTTGCAAAGTCTCTTCAGGTACCTGGCCTGGTCCCAAATTTGTGAGAGTATGAAAAATACTACAAATGTGTGCCACAATTTTTATTTTTTATACCAGAGGGATGGCATAGATTAGAATATTTAATATTTCAAATATGCAAGGTTTGCTTGATTTTTTTGTATTTTTGTTCTGTGCATGTGATTTGTTCTGTATTGTGGTGTTTTTTCTATAGTTTATGTATTTGCCAGAGAAAAGAAACTGTTTTCAATAAATAAAACATAGATTCTCAGTTAACCAGGTGCTGCAACATGACCTATGTCATAAGATACAGGATACTTGGGGTCCTCTTTATTTTTCAGATTTGATCACCTGACTGGTAAAGTCCAGGGGCACTTAAAAAATCATAAACATTGTCCCAGTTAATGACGGAGTCAATGCTCAAGGGGTTGAACAAACGCTGAGTAAAAACTTCATCCATGACCCTTCAGTTTTCCTTTCCTCCAGATCTGGCAGTGAGGACTGGTCCTATTAAGTCTGTCTTCTTTCCGATCTCTGACTGATCTTGTAACTGCCCCTCTCACCAACGTCATCATGAACAATGTAGGGCCAGTGGCCAGCACAGGTCTGGCATTGTCAGTGATTGCGTAGGATTGCCCAACAAAATATTCCAGCATGGGATCAAAGAGGACTAGTGCACTAGTTGCCACAAAAACTGTGGTATAAGGTAAATTTTAATCTGTTGGATCATCCTGTTAATGATACAAGTTTTAAATCCTTTATCTGTTGGGAGGGGGATGTTACAATGCTTAGGAATATTTATGCTAAAGTGTTATAATACTTTATTAGGAGCCATAAATTCTGCTTTAAACAGACTCTTTGCAGGAGTTCAGTGAGGGACATTTGCATGACGGGTACTTAATACTTTACGGTATAATGGGTCATTGGAGACCATGAATTCACAAAGCTATAATTTTCACTATTTGCTATACTAACTGCTATTTTCAACAATAAGAGCCAATTAGAACTGAAAATAACAGTGATGTGGATTACAATATCATATGTGCTAAAGTTAAGTCAGTGCTAGAAAGGCTATTTATGACAAGCCTTATTTCTGGTGAGGAAAATTTGCAATTTAATTTTATTTAAATGTTCTAAGCGGTTTATCGAGTTCCATTGTCTTTGGAGAGAGCTGTATATGTAGGCTGAATTTACTTTTCACTAGCTCCATAGCACTATGCCCGGAAATGGTTTTCAAATGTTGGTGACTATGTAGATCTAAGTATTACCATTTACTGTCAGTCCCTCCCCAATAATTATCTTACACAGGATGTAACATACAGGGATAGAAAACCACTTTTCACTCCTGTCCTTTCATACACCTGCTTAATCTGCAATGATGCATACTGCTAGCTAAGAATGAAAGCGTCAGTTATTTCTAAATATATCCAATGCCATAAACAGAAAGACAGGGGAGACATTGGGTCTCATGCTAAAAGATGAATGCATGCAAAGAAGGTAAGTCACAGGAATCACTTCACCTGGATAGGTATTACATTTAAAACTGGAGTTCCATTTTAAACATGACTGATTTAGGGTCAGATTATACCAGCAATTCTGTCACTTGTGACAAAACCCAACAACCAAATTGCCAAGAATCCACTTAGTCTTCCCTATGACGTCTCTCCATTACTGGCCAAGCCAGTAAGATATCATTTTGTTGCTGCTCTCTCAGTAGCAATCAAGATTCTGCAGCATTTTAGCCATAGAGGGAGCAACGTCTATTAGGTAAGGCGAGTTTTGTTTTGATGATTGGCCACAATCTTTAATGTGACATGGGCCATATGAAAACAGAAGCAACATTCCTAGGAAAACCAGTCATTTGTTACCACTTCTTTACTTAAATTAAAATAAGGGGTCATTTACAAAGCGAAGCTCAATTACCAACAGCAGCAAGATAACTTGCTATACCTGAACAATAAAGCCTGTCTGCTGTGGGGTCTGCTCCACCTTAGATTAATTTTTTAAAAATTATCTCTATGGAATCAGAGTAGACGGTTTCAGCATGGGCTCCACATTTTTTCAATCAATAGGTCTCTGTTGAGTGTAACAACCAATTTGTTTCTCCCATCTTTTTCCTGACTTGTCCTAGAGACATGAACACAGCTGATATGATGTTATAAACAACAAAAGCAGTTGTTTCTTTCAGGATCTTTTCAGCCATTAAGTTTAAAAAAAAAAAACGCTGTGCATGGTAGCCAATCAGCTTCTAAAATCAGTATGTTCAATCAGGCTTTGCAAAAAAAAAATCTGATTGGTTTCTATGCAGAGCTGCACCAGATTTTGCACTCTCCAGTTGTAGTAAATAAACCCCTCTTAGTAATCCCCAGTAGGGGACAAAACATGTTAGAGGGAGGATCCTGGGTAAAATGCTTGTGTTTATGCGCTGAACAATAAAATTTGTACCCTTTGGAAGTGTTGTGCAGCTCAGGACTTTTATTAAGCTTCTTGTATAAAAACTGAAGGACGAGATATTTGGGGGAATTCATAAAGAGTATCGTAGACACCCTTTTGAATTCCTTTGGGGTGCAGCCCATGCCCATATTTTGGTAATGATATCATCTGTATCAGGGGTGGACTGACCATTTGGAAACTCGGGCACTGCCCGAGGGCCCGGGGTCAGTAGGGGGCCCCATGAGATGCCCCTGGTACCTTTTTCATAGGCTTTTTTGAGTTTGGGCAAGGACACAGGGGCCCCATGATCCCCTATTGCCCAGGGGCCCCATGAGTTGTCAGTCCGCCCCTGATCTGTATCCTGTTTTAATTTACATTTCAGCCAGGTAATCTCCAGACTGACAGCTAAATGTGGCCGGGGATACAGCACTATGCAGTACCTCCTGTATGCCAGTTCAGAGTTGGTCTTTAATTATCAACAGTTTTCCAATCTGAGAACTGGTGATAATTCTTTGACAATTTTTTTGCTACCATAGCGATAGATTCTTAAAGTGGTGATAGTAAGTACTAACTGAATTTGCTGCATGTCCGTAATTTTACTGACATTGGCGCAAATGCTTGCCTGAATTAGACACAGGAACTATGGCCAGAAAAGTGCCGTAAGAGCAATATTTAATTCCCCTGATTATTTTAATAATCAAAATCAGACTCTGTTTTATAATTCAATCCAGACACAGCCCAGTTTGATTCTAAGATGTTGCAATAGGCAATATGCTCTGGAGAGTTATAGCTGTAATAGTGGGGTGATTATTTTACAGCAATGGTTTCATCCCCGCTACATGATGTTCATAAATTGAAAAAAATGTCTCTAGAGCAAATGCCTTGGAATGGATACATGTAGGAAATGGTTGCATTGGGTCACAGAGGTGGACCGAGTTTTTAGGAGTTGCATTACACCTTCATTTATTAAAACACTTCATCACTGCTGTTGTAATCCCAATACCTGAAATAATTACTATATAACCCCAGAGCAAAGCCATGTGTGTAAAATTCTTGCTTACACACAATATTATATGTATAAATAATAGCTAGCATGACATACGGGCTTATATATAAAAAATAAAATATTGTCCTCAGCAACAATCACAAAATCCTGTTAAAGTGTTACTAAACCCAGGACCCTGCATTCACTATATCTGGTCTCCCACAGTACACAGAACATAGAAATGCAATTATTTTAGTAAATATAAACTGCAAAATACCTTTTCTCATCAGCAGTATATAGCAGTCTTGTGACTTCTATCAGTGTCCAGCACAGCACTGGTTAAAGCTTGTAGGAGGGGTTTTCATTCTCCCCTGATTTTCCTATGAGACTGCAGGACCCCTGAACTGCTGATTGGCCCTGTGCTGATCACATGCATTCTCCCAAGGAACAAAAAAAAAACTCTAGCAATACACACCAAACTGTGCACATGCAGCTTGCCCCAAGACTCTGTTCTATCAGCAGATGGATTGGGGACAGTAGAAGAAGGGGAATATCAGAGAAGACAGGATCAACATCCTTTTTACACAGTGCGGAAGATTAACCCCTTGGGTTCCACAGTGAGTATAACAAGCATGCTTTACTGCATAAACAGACTGATCTTACTGTTGTGCATTTAGTAACACTTTAACTGACCCTCTCAGCCATTACAGACTTTTCAGTGTCCTGCTAAGTCCTACCAGCCGGCCATGCTATCCAGTAAGGCAACATTCACACTGAACGCCCCATTTCGTTATTACAGCTTGCTCATCAGGTGAATGTTATTGGCCATTGTTTTTGGATATCCACTTTAAGCCTAGGTTCACACCTAAGAGTTTTCTGCAGCGTTTTGCAGAAATGCAGTACGGTCCATTTAACACGGTTTCCTATGGGACATGTTCACATCTGTGCGTTTTTCACCCAGTGCATTTTTGGAAAGGGTCAGGGACTTTTCTGAATGCAAAAAGTTGTGTTTTTGGTTCTATAGACTTCAATGGAAATGCTGCAGGAAAGCATATATTGCGTTTTTGATGCATTTTGAATTTTAAATCTGCCTAGCAACAAGAAGAAAAAAAATGCAAAAAGCATCAAAAACTCAAGTGCAAAAATGCAAAACGCAATGCAGAAACAGCTCAAACGCAACCTGCATAGGTGTGAACCTAGCCTAAGGCTTCATTAACACCAGCAATTTAAGTCCCTGTGAATTGTAGTGGCAGGAATCTTCTGATTCCTGCTGCAGATCTGAGCTGCTAAGTATGGCTGCCAGTCCTATTCATTATAATGACAGGTACATGCAGGTATTTGCAGCTGGCCACAGGTAATCGCTGCCTGTGCAGAGAGCTGCAAATAGCTGTGGCCATTGGAGATCTTTCATTATAGTGAATGGGACCAACAGATACACCTAGCTCCTCAGAGCTGCAGCAAGAATCAGAAGATACCTGCAGCTTCAATTCACACCAGCCCAGGGGCGGACTGACCATTTGGAAACTCGGGCACTGTTTGAGGGCTCGGGGTCAGTAGGGGGCCCCATGAGATGCTCCTGGTACCTTTTTCATAGGCTTTTTTTGAGTTTGGGCAAGGACACAGGGGCCCCATGATCCCCTATTGCCTGGGGGCCCCATGAGTTGTCAGTCCGCCCCTGCACCAGCCTAAATTGCCATTGTGAATGTAGCTTTAGAGTGGATATCGAAAAATAATGGCCAATAAAATTCTCTCATTGAGCAAGGAGTGGTAATTAAATGGGGCGTTCAGAGGCCAAGTCCTCCACAATGGTTTGTAGATGTGTTTTTCATAGTTTACTATCTCAGTACATCCTAACTATCTTTTGGTATTCTCAGGGTTGATGAATCATTGTGCAGATAGAAGGAATTGTCAGTATTGTTCCATGTGCAGCAGTCCAGTTAAGATGTTTATAATACAACTTTCATTTAAACATGTCAATTAGGGTCATATTGACCATTCTTAGTACTGACCTATTGATATTGTACATTAGTCTGACATATGCTGGCATTCCACTTTAAAGTTTAACTCCAGGAATGAAAAAAAAATTCTTCCTTGCAGCTCCTTGGCACTGCAAGGATAAATGATTGTTATGTCTAGAGGTGCACAGAAAGGGTGTAAATATTTAACTTACTCTTGGGCTCCAGCAGGGTTCCTCCAGCACTGCGATCAGTTCCTCCGCAGGCTGCTCTGTAAGCTGAGACTCCAGCCTCTTCAATGTATAATACAGGATTAATGTACATGATGATGCTGAGGCTCCACCCACACATAGTTAGAGGAGGAGATCGCTGGAGCTGGCTTGAGCGGAGTGTAAGTGATATATCCTGCACCAGGGGCGGACTGACAATTCATGGGGCCCCCGGGCAACAGGGGATCATGGGGTCCCTGTGTCCTTGCCCACAGTCAAAGCACACCCAAAAAAGCCTATGAAAGGTACCAGAGGCATTTCATGGGGCCCCCTACTGAACCCGGGTCCTCGGGCAGTGCCCGAGTGCTCGAATGGTCAGTCCACCCCTGTCCTCCACTGTGCTCCGAAACACATAACAAGCATTCTACCCTTACAGTGTAGGGCGCCTCACTGCAAGGGCAAATTTGTTTAAAAAATTGCTGGAGCTGGGCTTTAACTGAAGATAGTCTAGCATTAACCCCACAGGGACCGCTTGATAATGCTTTTCCCCTGTGGTTGCCCTGACCTTGCAAGCCTCCGACACCTCTGACACTCTGGGTGAAGACATATTTCAACAATATAGAATAATAATGCAAGAGACACAATTCTTCAGTAACACCCCTATACTAAACCTTAAAAAAGATTAGACCACAGAAATAATGAGTTTAGGATATAAAACACCAATTAACACATAAAAGCAGAGTAGTGGTAAAATAGAAACAATCATTTAACAACATTTAACAGATTATACAGTCAGGAGTAGTAAGCTTCAACCATTTAATTGCAACACCAGCAGAAAGAGGGGAAGAAAAGGCTTGTTGACTTATCGGCTCCCTCTGGACCACCAGCCTCGCAATGGAGAATTCAGAGAATAAAGAATATGTATACTCTGCTATGAATAGATATACTGTAAATACCTCAATTTGAATAACAATTACCTTAAAAGAGAAGAGGTCCCTTTAACTAGGGATTGGAACTTGACCTCTGATATTTAAAGTTTCTGAAATGGTGGTATCCGTTGTCTTCTGCTAGCAATGGTGAAGGCCATAAACATTAGTGAATACTGGTAATTAAATTAAACAAATTGACTTCAGTATTGCTGAAAGAAAAGATCTCCTGATACTGAGATGTAAAGGTGTCTCTATGCAGTGTCTCTAAAGTGATGACAGAAAGAGGTTGGGCATCAGCCCACTCACCAAACCTATGGACAGCACGGCCTGCTAGGAACAGAGTTCTTGCGTAGACTCTTGGCTAGTTGCAAGGATGTGCGTAGTTATTGCCTAACAGCCTGTCAGTGCAGCGAGCGGAGATATCTGTGTGAAGACTAGACAATGACCCGATGCAGAGAAGACAGATGTGATCCCAGTGTGTTGAATGGTGTCACTGCTGTGCTGAACTGATGTGTGACTGAGTCCTACAGCAATAGCCAAGCAATCTGTCTCTGGAGGAGAACAGCAGTCCCCCTGTGTTTAGCTCTGAATTCCATGCCATGAGTGAGATCCAGTCCCTTGCTGTAGAATACATCTGCATCCTCCTCTTTCGCTGGCTCTCTAGTAGTTGTAGTTCTATCAGCACTCAAGAATACAGGATGTATTGGCTGTAGGACTACATGTCCCAAGATCCTCTGCTGTCAGGAAAACTGAATCCACTTTGCAGGAGTCACTCTTTTCCTTTCTGTTTGAGAAATTATCTAAATAGTAGTGATGACATTCAAGTTCACAACCATGTAGAGTTCAAAACAAACTCTACATGTTTTCAGTTCAAAACAAACTCTACATGTTTTCAGTTCATTGAATAGATGAACTAAATGGCCAGGCCTGCTTGTCAAACCTCAGACTGCTGCAGTGAGGATGACATTCATTTTGGAGTGGTATCACTCTTACCACCAAATAAATGGCTTCCACTGCCTTCATCCTAGTATCCAAGAACTTTGTGCAGGTTGACCACCTAAGTCCTAGCAACAGATGTCATTGATTGCTTGGACACCAGGGGCTGCACAATCATTGGGAGTTATAGTGCACTGCAAGTCAGGGGAAATCTCACCAGTTGGTCACATAAAGAAATAAAAAGGTTGACAAAGGTTTTCACTCTTCCACTTTTATCCAAACTAAACTCAAAAGTATGCTGAAGTTGGCATTTAAAGTTTTAGGAAATTATTAAAGAACTGGTTTTAAATTATTCATGCATACCTCCTGACCTTCCCTATCACCAATGTCAGTGTGCTCCTCATAATTAGAGGCAATTCTCCTAATGATGGACTGTGGTGATTCCAGATGTCCACTATCTGCTCAGTATCTTCTACAGACTTAGTCTGCTCTGATCAGCTTGTGTAGGATTAATGTTCTTTCTCAGGTCCATCTCTAGTTGCAGTCAGTTTGAATCAATTTGGCCAGATTGACTCTTGAGTCTTACACCATGCTGAGGAAACCCAAAGGGCAGCCAGAGGGTATGAGCAATGTCTGCTGCCCTATATGTACCCGACCTGACTGTACAACTCACAACACGGAAGACTATCCATTTCACTTGTGTTGTAATGTTTACTCCTTCCTAGGTCTTTATCAGAGCACAGTCTTTTCCTAATATACCTTCAAAATATTATATACACGTGCACATACAGTATATCCATTGGATTAAAATGTATCTGTACCCAAAACCTTTTAGTATTGGCAGAGGCGTCCCTAGGGTTGGTGTCACCCGGTGCGGTAACATGTGGTGTCACCCCTCCAGAGAGGAAGGAGCAGTGCCGGTGTAGTGGTAAAATGAGTATCCCGGGAAGATACGTATCCCCTGAAGCAACTGCGCATGTGCCGGTTTAGGCCGAAGAAGCTGATCTCCGACTTTAGCACAGAGCTGTCACAGTTAACCCCTTACATGCTGCAAACCGCTGAAGCTGATCCCACGAATCATTATGGGTTGCAAGATCAGTTAACCCCATATAGGCAATGAAACCTGGAAGCTGACTGGTGTCTAAGCAGAAGTGCACCTAATTTTGCACTCTCCAGCTTTAGTAAATAAACCCCTGTGTGTTTTTCTACCCCTCTGGTGCTGTGTAGTCAGCATGGGTCAGAAAAAGGGGACACTGGCTGGTGTCCTGAAGAGTGCTGTCAGTTTAACTGCTTTCTGACATGAGGACTTTGCTCAAGGCTGCTATTTAAGGAGGTTCTGTCCTCAGCTGTAGCTTTTAGTATCCTACTAAATCCCCTTCTCCCTATCCAAGTTCTCCAATAATTAATCACAAAAAACAACAGCCCCTACACTGATCATTGAAGACAATGAGCAAAAGAGTGTGTGTACCTGGCTGTGAAACTACCTTGTGCCTGGCTGTGGGGAATAACAGAGGGGAGACCTGGACAGTATCTTAGCGGCTCCTACAGGGGTAGCATTACATGTGTATTGTTACTAACTTCCTTATTATATTTTTATACATTCTAATAGTGTGTTTAATTTTTACAGGAGTAGGCAGTGAATAAACTGTTACAATTATTCGTCATTGCTCCAGTACTTAGAGAGGTTCTTCAGGCTGTATGAAAAAATTAAAAGTCAGCAGCTACAAATACTATAGCTGCTGATTTTTTTTTAAAAAAAAAGGGACCTTTACCTGTCCAGGGATCCAGGGGCGACCTCGCCCGGGCCAGTTCTTCACTGGTGCCAGCATGTTTAATAAGGGAAGCTAGCTTTGACTTCCCGCTGCACATGCTCGAGCTGTGCTGTGCTTTGCGAATAGTCCTGCAGCATTCTGGGACCTGTGACATGTCCCAGAAGGCTACAGGAAAAGGGGGCTCAGATCACCTAGGCAGTCCAAGCAAAAGTTGGACCGGTACCTGTCAAAACCAGGTACCCGTTCTCCCAGAAAAATAATTGTATCCAAAAATGACACAGGAAGGGGAGGGGGGCGGAAAAGCAGAACCTCCCCTTTTGGGTGAAAAGTTCAGATTTAGTTCCCTCTATACTTTCTTCACAATACCAATAGACAGAATTGGCTTCCATTCCATTTCCTGGATTTTACATTCGTAAAGCTAGTTGTGATCCTTTGCTCCACAATCATGCTATAATTCTCTGAACGTTGGGCTCGGTTTTATTTGGTGATGTGTCTACTACATGACGCCTCACTGGCAGGGGCGGACTGACAACTCATGGGGCCCCCGGGCAATAGGGGATCATGGGGCCCCTGTATCCTTGCCCAAACTCAAAAAAGCCTATGAAAAAGGTACCAGGGGAATCTCATGGGGCCCCCTACTGACCCCGGGCCCTCGGGCAGTGCCCGAGTTTCCAAATGGTCAGTCCACCCCTGCTCACTGGTCTGTCTGGTGTGTTTCTTCAGCTTGTTAACAATGACACATTGGATGCAGTGGCATCTGCAGTTGACATGGACCCAATACAGTAAACTGTGCTTTTGTGGTCTCTGTGGCTTTGCAAACTAACATTGCTTGGCAAATCTGAAATTAAGATCAGTTAGAACCCAGTTTCTCATGCAGTGAAATGTCAAGCTTCTAAAACAATCCACAGTCACAGCCAGGAGGAAACCTAGGACTTCCTTCACTCTGCCGGGCGCTGCTGCATCTGAGATCTGGTAAGTGAATTTTGTAGAGGGAAGGGGAAATTTGTGCTGTGGGCAATTTTAGCTTGGGGGGGAAAGATGTTTGTACTAAAAGGGGGTATTATTGCCTGTGGGGAAGATGTGTTAAAGTGTTACTAAACCCACAACAGTAAGATCAGTCTGTATACGCAGAAAAACATGCTTGTTATACTCACCATGGAACCTAAGGGGTTACTACTCTGCATTGTGTAAAAACGTTGTTTGATCCTTTCTTCTCTGTTCCTCCTCTTCTTCCAGTGCCACCCTCTTATCTCCTGATACAACATATCATGTGGAGTCAAGCTGCACATGCTCAGTTTGGTGTTTATTGCTAGAGAGGGTTTTTTTTTGGGAGGGAGAGTGCATGTGATCAGCACATGGCCAATCAGTGCTGTCAAGACAGAGGTCAGGGGTTCTGCATCCTCCTAGAGCAGAATGAAAACTCCTCCTACAAGCTTTATTCAGTGCTCTGCTGGACATTGATAGATGTCACAACACTGTTCTAACTGCTGATGAGAAAAAGTATTTAGCTATTTATATTTACTACAATAATTGCATTTCAATGTTCTGTTTACTGTGGGAGACCAGATAGAGTGAAGGCATTGGCCTGGGTTTAGTAACACTTTAATGACTCCTGACCTCACCCTGTGTGATATGAACTACTGACCTCTGCACTAGGTGTTACATACT